CTACCTTCTCAGAGAATGTTTTTGGAAGCTAGAAGGAATCTACAGACTTGTATCTTTCTGAACTGCTGTTCAGAGGCCAATGGGACCCCTGGACTTAATGAAGGAAAAATAAGGGGGGAAAAAAAAAAAAAAAAATTCTCCGGAGGGAAAATTGGAAGTATGTGTTTTTTTCCATGAAAGACCCACCAAACTCATGCATTTGGCTCAAGAAAGCCTAGCCAAAGCACAGAAGAAACAAGAGGTTTAGTATGCTTGCTGTGTGATCAGCAGGTCACATGGAATAGGTGGTGCTCAATTTCCAGCCTGCAGGGCTCCCCAAGAGTCTAGATAGTGTGGCAGGAGAGGTGTAGCAGTGTTAATTGCCACTCCTCTACTGCCACATTTCTAGACCCATGAGGAGCCCTGGGGCTAGCGCACAGCTGTATTCAAGTACATAACCAGGTCAGTGTGCAGGACAGACCCATGTACTGATGTCATGTGCCAAACCTCCATGTGGTCTGGCTCTTGGACCAATCCTACACCACTCATCTGGCCCACGGGGGTGGAAAGTTGGGCGTCAATAAATCAGGTATTAATACCATGACTTCGTTTTCTGTGTGATGAAAAAGTTCCAAGCTGGCTGGGAAGGTCAAAGAGCTGAATAATGTAAAAAAGGGGGAGAAAACACACTTGCCATTAGACAGCAAGTCATGTAATTGTTATAAAACCTTATTATGACAGAAAGATTGTTTTTCCACTGTGGGGGAAACTGGGAAGGGACTGAAGACCCTCTTTTAGATCCGATAGTGGAAACAGGAGACAACTCTGGTGGAATCTATTCTACTCTGACAAATTACCTCCTGCCCAGGAGTTAGAAATCAGAGTGCTTCTGCAAAGCTACAGGTATTTCTCCAGCACGCTAGGACACACTTAGTCATGCACCGAGTGAAAACAGGGGACAAATCTATCAGGTGTTCACCACCTTTCAGAATCACTGGGAAAATAGGCTAGGTAGGACCTGGAAAAGGGGATCAGGGACATGCTGGTACCGGAGCAGGAGGCAATTCAATAAAACAGCCCATAGGCCTCACTTGTGATGTTGGTGCCCAAGGATGGCACCAATAGGTTCTGTGCAGACCATCACAAGACTAATGCCATTAGTGCCAGGTGCTCATCTCATACCCAGAATAGCAAACTTGGAGGTGCCTGGTATCTGACAACTACAGACCTCACAAAGGACTACTGACAAGTGCCACTAGATGTCTGGGTTTTTGTTTTTTTAAGCCTAACACCATAACAAACCAATGCAAGATCAATTTTCACCAAGCTTTTTTTTTTTTTTTAATTCCTGGTGCTACTCTTGGCCTCCAGCATTTTGCAGTACACACGCAGGGACCATGAACTAGGGTATGTTGCACTTACTGACATCCATGCATCCTCAGGCACCTCCAGAAAGGCTTGAGATGTCTAAGCACACTCCACAGACATTTTACAGCTGCTGACCTAGTGAACAGTTCCTTCTAAGCATCCAGACACCTAGTGAAAGGCTTCATTAGCCACGGGCGCAGGGTAGGATGGGTCTCTTATTAGTACCAAGGGTAGTCATTCCTCAGCCTGGGGGCCAGGCAGGCTATGGGCAAGCTCTCTCCCTGACCCAAAGTGGAAAAGGGAATGCCTATATCCTAGCATTGCATACCCAGTCTGACCAACTGGCATGTACATGGCTCAAATGCCCATGGTGGTCCTCAACTGTCCAAATCATTATTGGGAAGTACCCCTTCCAGTTGGTGAATTCATAGCCAGAATCCACAAGGGAAAGGATGGAGATGTGTGCGCTCAAGAGCCCCAACGTAGCTGGGAAACCACAGGCTGGTAAGCTCATCTAAAGCCTCCTGTGGGTTGGCAAGACATATGGTATACAAAGCCATCACCCACAGTCTCTTGCACAGCCTTTCCAACAGTCAACTTGCCTATGTCAAAACAGTTTGCCACAGATCAGAGGCTGTCTGGGGTCATAAACTTGTATGTAACCAAAGGAACACAGTTCTCTACAGGTAAGGGCAAACTCATCATCACTGTCCATGGCTGTATGCGCAAGACAATTTTGGCACAAGTCTCCATGAAGGTACATTTCTGCATGTCCAGGGGTATGCACCATTGACTAGCATCAGAGGTGGCCAAAACAATCTGCTCCTACCAGCTGCTGCTTATCTCCTTGGCCCAGAAACACCGCTTCATGACTTGGAGTCGATCCCCTATACGCTCAGCCAGATGCTGAGCTGCAGCCAAAACAGCTTTAGGGGAGCGGTATCTACTGCTGCCCAGTACAAGCCAGATGTAGACACAGCCCCACCTACTGTTTGGCAGCAAGCACACGTGAGCTTCTCCCCCAACCTTTGTTCTTGAGGACTAATGAAAGTAGTAACAGCATCCATTGAGGCCCACAAGTTAATGACACTGGGCCAGCAAGGCTATTACTATATACAGATCCATAGCAGGTGGTGCTGGTGAAAGCTCTGGCTTATGATCAGTGATGGCCACACCAGTGCACCAGAAATAAGGGCAGATATTCAAAAGGCACAAGCTGCAGTGACCAACACCAAAATTCATCCTACAAAAATGTCACCACCTACCCAAAATGTAAAAGCAGGTGCTCTGTCAGCACTTGCAGTCAAGGGATCCTATGGAACTTGACCAGCAACCAGGCATGCTGTGATGTGTGCTCTCTCCAGGCACCTACTGGTGGAAAAGCAGCAGTGTAATCAGCCACTTTGAAGGGAGATGTGTAGAGATGTCAAACCCACAACTTCTCCATTCTAGAAGATGGGGCACAACCAGTCCCACAAGAAATACCATGTCTTGTTTATAGCTTTAGTACTTACTTCTCCTACAGATAGGTACTCTTAATAGCGTGACTCCCAGGATAGGGCTCCTTAAAAGGGTTAAAC